TCCAGTAAAATTTTTCATGGAATGCCGTTTCTTGTTACAGGAGTGGAACACAGTGAAGATACCAACAAACAGTCGCTTCGCAATAAACTGGCACGCTGTAGTTGCGAAGCACTGGCATGTTTGGCTGGCTTCCGAGAAGGCACACCGGACAACGATGGCGTTCAAAGAAGTTTGCGAGCTATGCTTACGCCCTACATCTGTCAACTTATGCAACACTCTACGGACAACGATCACGTATATGCTTGTTTTGTTGTAGGCCATGACAAAATGTTTCTGCCTGGCTTTAGGGAGCTTTCGACGCTGCTGTACGTCAGAAGAAAACCCTGCAAGACTTCTGGCCCTAATGGTATCCAGGCATTCTTTTGGGAAAAGCTACACTGGGCCTACGCTCGATTCGGTAGGCTGTCTCAAGTCCAGCACTTCGAAAAACCAGTCTTTTTACAGTTTGTTGATTCGTTTTGGTGATTAATTGGCAGTGATGCTGGCCAGAAAGTCGAAATTTACAACTGCTACTCCTTGTTAACCCTTCTTCATATGTGTTGTATAAATTACTGAAAGTACTTGAAATTACTTGGATTAGCTGTTATTTATTGGAAATACTTGGATTAGGTGTTATTGGCAGTCCGATTTCCCAACTACATGGCAACCAATTTTTCCAACTGCTTTGACCAATTCGGCGTGTTCAGCCTATTGACGATTCTGAGTTAGTTTCGTTCCTTATAGGAGAGGGGCGGATGAGAGGAGGGAAGTGGGAAGGGGGAGGGGGCGAAAGGTGAAGGGGAGAGAAAGCGGGACAGTTTTCGACAAAAGCATCTCCCAAGGATTTATCCGTACCGAGGTGTTCTTGTTGTATGTGGAGGACTGCCTTGTCCCAAAACTTGCCGTTCTTGAAGTACAGTGAGCACCTACGTACTGAAAAAATATAGAATAAATATCCAAAAATTACATTCACTCATTGTTACTGAAATAGAAAGGTTGTTTTTTGCATAATCAATTCGTTTACGCTAATTTTTCACGTTTTCTTCATGTTACCTGGCCTTGAAAATTCAGTTTCAGGCGTTGAAGACACTTAACAGCAATACGGAAGATCCGTATCTCATCTGGGACAATGGAACGCGTAATGAACTGCTCGAATTTGTTGAATTTCATCGTACGTCTGCATCCAACACAGTTGGTTTTTTTTTTTTTTTTTTTCTAGAATTGCAAAAATATGCTATGTTTTAGGGCCAAAAGAATGGGCTGTGGCTGTACTGGTTTTTTTAAGAATTCATGTGTTTTATTGAAAAAATTTTCAAAAATTCAAATAGGTTTTTCTTTTAAAAACCGAACTTTTTCGAATTTTTTTCAAAAAAAATTGGTTTTTTTCGAAAAAATCGAATTTTTGCAGAGTGAATTGTTCGGTGGCGAATTCAAACTTTCTGTCCATGAAAAAGAGTTGATTGTCGGTGATATCTTTGTAAGGATTTACAACGAACAGCCAAATTTTAAGTTACAAGTAAGTTCGTTGAATTTTCCACCTTTATATTGTAAAATCCATAAATAGGCATGGCACTACGACAGTGCTGTGCTTATTTTGCAAATCGAAGATATGACTTTGCAAGCAATTCCGTTGGAACAACCAATCCCTCTACGATTAGTTCAGATTTAACTACTCGGCAAGTGCAAGTACCAGTTTTTCGTTTCGACCGAAAAATTGGTACTTACGCGTGCCAGGTAGTTAAGTCTGTGATTGACCTGTTGTTAAACAAACTTTGAAAGAAGGTAATCATCGATTATTGCCTTACCAGTTCGTAGTTGCTACTGGGACGTTCTACCATACATGCTGCTTCTGAATGCCTTCACCTTTTGTGGAGAGCAAGTGTAGAGGGACTTTTGTGTTTTAATTATAAAATTTACCTTTTCATAATTTTTGTGTGTTTTTGCATATTATACAAATGCAACAGTGCGTATATTGTCAGGAGCCTGTCTGTCTTTTTGTATGTTATATATATAATATA